AAAATTCTACGAGGAAAACGAAATTAAATTTAAATGTGATTTCCTTATCATATATATTATCAACAGAATTAACACTACCTCGTATCAAATTTATATTACACAGTCTTGTATTGTGGTCACAAAATTTATCAAAGTCAGACGTCTAAATGGAAGACTTCTATTTGAACAGCACTTAATGACAATTTTGAAACAAAAAGATATGTTAAGTATTTGCTTAAGACTACGATTATTAAAAGATAGACGAATTCAATTTGTATCTCAAACATTGTTGGCAACATTGGATGATAAAAATATTGATGAGGTCAGTGAACCTGATAAATTATTACAAACCTATATTTATTATATCAAAAGTATTATTGATGAATTCAAACAGTCGTATGATGGACTTAGATTAGATGGTTTATTGGAAAACTTTAAAAGTATGTCAACATTACCCTGACTGTTGTCTTTGATAGAAAGTACAATGTAGAATGTAAAGTACAAATTGAGCTCAAAGTTTTGTTAGATATTGAATCTCTGTTTTGCATGAACTGCAAAAGTGCTTTACCTTTAAAGTACACAACTAGACAGAAGCGCCTCTATTAGAGAGGAAGAGAGAAGTGGGATAGCATTCTTTGACTACATTCATTCATCACACTTCTTTTTACAGAATGCATGAAAAAACAAAATATGTTATTTATTCTTCATAATTGTGAATAAATGACTTGTGGTTCATATTAAATTCTGAAGCAAAAGATAGGGATGTACTGTTGAGACTTCTCTACTCTCATATTCGTTTTCTCAAGGACAGATGAAAGAAATAAGAAGAAACATACTTTCAAATGTACGTTTCGACTAATTTGCAAACTCTCCATTTTGAGAGCTAATTCATAAATAAAAAGCCAAATGAGCTGAATGAACCTTTATTTTAAAGATTTAACTTTAATCTATGCAAAAAATTTCGAGCTAAACAAAGTCATTAAATGGATAATCACTCATAGTACCAACTATTCTACGAACATTTTATGTGTAGTACAAATTCACTCTCCAAACAGGACTCATGTAGAATATCATACGTTCGAATATATTTATTTTTCGTAGAGATATAGTCGCAATACTTTGGTGTTACTTTTTTTGCACTAGTAGGACACTGTTCTCTTCAGAAATGAAGTACTTTCTAGCACCAAAATTTTTTAGCAGGCAGTAAAGGATAAAAAGTAAACTGATCAGACTCAGCGATCTACCCATCACTTGGCCAAGAAAGGGCAATTATTCATAGAAATTTTCTTCACTGCCCATCGAGATACAACAAGGGTTGCATGATGAACCGAATGAAAATTTCTACCAAAGTGTTTTTCATTTTTTCGTCGGATAATCAATTTATATTAAGAAGCTCTTAATTAATAAAACATAGTTTAGAGATTTCTCTGCAGAAATGGCTAAAAGAAAAAGTTTTGAACAAGCAGATGTTGTGCTTAAATTTGCACTTCGACATCTACCTGTGAAATGCGTAGCTTTCCCTCTTGCTCATTGTGTAAGTCAGAAACAGAAAATGACAGTAATATTCTTTTTGTTAGGACAAATAGTACGAATGCTGAGGTCTACTCAGTTTAAGTCTCTCCCTATAGCGGTAGAACGATATTCTTCACTCTTATGCTCTTGATTTACAATATCATCAACTATAAAGAGATACACACACCATTTTTATATACTGTACAAAAAACATTGAACCAAGATTTAGCAATAACACATTTTGATAAAGGATCAAATTTTGGTATTACATACTTTGTTGATTTCTTTTATAATAATCCAACTTAGTAGACTGTCTTATACAGGCAAAGTCTATCGTGGTATGATTATAACTAGTGATGATTTAAAGCCGTATGGTAAAGGAATTAAATTACTGAATAAAGCATTCATGTTAACAACAAAAGATCGTAGTGTAGCGGAAGACTTTGCTGAAAGAGATGTAATTCATCGAAAAAGTGTCAAAGATGAACATATTAAATTGCAAGCTATATGTACATATGAAATTGTCAACGATCGTACAGCTCTGGATATCGGAAAAATCTCTGAATACTCAAATGAACAAGAAGTGTTAATTGGACCATATTCAGCATTTATTGTACCAGAAGTCTAAACTCATGGTTTAGACGTTTCTCGACATGCTCTTCACTTTTGTCTCTTGAAAGTTTTTTTGTGAAACTCTTGCAAGTAGAGGTTCCAGAAAACCCAGGGTTTTTGAGACAACGTAAAAAATTATTTTAGAAAAGTGGAGCGACGGAAAAACCTGTTGGGTGACATATTCGGAATCAGCGTCGAATGACAAACATTTTAACCCTTTGGCTCCCGGCGACGTGTAAATACGTCTAGTTGCAATTATTGCACGATCATAATAGCTAGAATAAATTTGAAAAAAGATTTGAATAGCTGGAAGAATTTCCGATCTCAGGTGGTATATACAAAGGCTCCATCAAAACTCTTGAAATCAGGGTCTCTGGAAAACTCAAATCTCAGAAAACCAAGTCCCAGAGTTCAATCCAGAAATTCTTTGTAAATAAGTCCATCGTGTAGAGCAAACATTTCTGAAGAAAATGAGACGTCTCCGAGCTGTTTATGGCATTTTTTCATGGAGCAGCATTCAATTTACGGAAAGCCCCATATAGCAGCAAAACTGACGGAAAAACAAGAAGATAGGGCCTTTTGTAAATTGATTCTTGTT